GGAGTCAAATATTGGGGTAAAAACTTGGTAGATCCAAAGAGGACAGAGGATTGATCAGCTGACCCTGCCTCTCCACACCTCCAGATTTAAATGATCACACATCTTTCTAAGCCCCTCCCTATTACTTCCTGTGCCCTCCTAGCTCAGTCCTCCAAAACCTCTATGGCTAATTCTGGCCAACTGCAGAATGTTGACTGCACCTTCTGATTCAAGGTTTAACTTTATCGGCAGTCTCAGAGTGTCAGTGTGAACAAATCTGCAAAAACAAAACACATCAAGCCGCGGACCCCTCTGGGCAACAACCTGTTCCTATATTAATTGCCGCCATCTCTCAAACCAGTCACAGTTTCACATCTCCAGTTCTGCTGAACTTACACCACTCCGCTCCCCCATCTTTCCTGCCTTTCCCTCACATAGTCGTTCATCTCAGTGGCATTGGGAGCTGGGGTGCATCATGCAGTCTACCCTTTTGCCCACACAGCTTTACTTGCCAATGTTCATTGCAATGAGTCATTGGTTTGGCCTCTGGCTTCTGGTACACCATCAATACTGGATCCTCACCAAGACTCCTCTCAGATATCCTGACATTGCCATGTCATGGAGATCCTGCAGCTATGGTTCTGCAGGATGGGCCCCTTCACAGGATCCAGCAGCTCATCGATGGAGTAGGTGTTGGGGTGGGCCAACTCAAAGCCCTGGATCTGGGCCTAGGCAGTAGCTGAGTTGGTCAGGACTGGTCTCCCCCTGGCCTCCCCAACACCCTCCCCATGCCACTGCCTACACCACTGCACAGTAGCCGCTGAGGGGTGGGAGTCACTTTCCCAAGTGCTGTGGCTGGCAAGGGGCGGGGCCAGCTCAGCAAGGCACTGAACATCAACACGGCTTCAGGTGGCGGCCCAGACCATGGATTGACATCCGTGTGGCCTTTGGTGGAAACACAGTCCCCGACTGCAGTAGGGCCACAACCCCAGGTCACGTCGTGTTTCCAGTTCTACCTCTCTCCACAGAATGAACCACTCTGCTTTTCCTCTCCCATCTCTCCATCACATATTTGTTCCCTGTAGCGGCACGTGTCGTGGGGTGGGGGTGGGGGGCACTCCTGGTCACCTCATGCTGTCCTCAATGTCCTTCTTTTGTTTGTTTGTTTTGAGACAGGGTTTCTCTGTGTGGCTTTGGAGCCTTTCCTGGAACTCACTCTGTAGCCCAGGCTGGCCTTGAACTCACAGAGATCTGCCTGCCTCTGCCTCCTAAGTGCTGGGATTAAAGGCGTGCGCCACCACTGGCCAGCTTCAATGTCCTTTTTTAAATTACATTTTTTTGTGTTTGTGAGCAGGTATGCGTGTGACTATATGGAAGTTCTTTCTACCATCCCAGAGTACAAACTCAGGTTGTCAGGCTTTACAGCAAGTGCTTTCACCCACCAGACCATGTCACCAGCCCCGATTTTAAAAACAAAACAGTATTCCAGCATAAGAATGTGTGTCTACCAGTTCCCTTACGAATAGGTACCCACATTACTTCTTGATTCCTGCTACACATACTGATCCCAAACTACACATATTCTTATATGTAACTAGTTCATACAAGTTCCTCTGAAGGACATAGTCAGGAATGAAACTACTCTCCTGCACATGTCTGCTTGTTTTTGAAAGAAGGTCTCCCATGATCCAGGCTAGCCTATGATCCTGGTCTTCCTCCACCTCACAAGTGCTAGGATTTCAGTCACGGGCCACCATGCTCTGCTTACATGTAGCAGCTTCTAACAATAACTCACAGATGAGAATCATGCATCTGGTGAGGGACTGGTTATCAAAATATGAAATCGCTTTATTACTGTAGTTTGGGGTATTGAATCCAGGGCTTACACGAGGCACAAGCTAGGTAAACATTCTACCACTGAGCCATACTCCCAACACTCCAGAAATAATCCTTTACATGAAGTGTGTACAAGCTACCTGTGGTGGTACACAACTTTAATCCTAGCACTCAGAAAGCAGAGACAGGCATATTTTTTGTGAGTTCAAGGCCAGCCTGGTCTACATGGTGAGTTCTAGGACAGCCGGAGCTATATAGTGAGACCGTCTCAAAAAAGAAAAAAACAAAGTGTGTATATGTGGTGGTTTGAAAGAAATTGGCCCCCAAAGAACATGGCACTATTAGGAGAAGTGGCCTTGTTAGAGTAGGTGTGGCCTTGTTGGAGGAAGTGTGTCACTGTGGGGGTGGGTTTTGAGGTCTCCTATGCTCAGAATATGCCCACTGTCACAGTTTATTTTCTGTTGTCTGTGGAGTTTAAGATGTAGAATTCTCAGCTCCTTCTCCAGCACCATGTCTACCTGCATGCTGCCATGATGATAAACCTCTGTAAGCCACCCCAATTAAATGTTTTCCTTTATAAGAGTTGCCATGGTCATAGTGTTTCTTCACAGCAATAGAAATCCTAAGACAGTACATATACATATATTTATACACATATAATATATATGTGTATATACATGTACAGGGTCCTTATATATACATAAAAAATGGGCAAAGTCCCTCAATAAACATGAAGATATATAAAGACACTCAACATTATTAGCCATTACAAAAATTAAAATCACAGATTTGCCACCTTCCACCAACCAGAATAGCTGTAATAAAAACAGGAAATACAGACAAGGATGCAGAGAAATCAAAACTTTCATATATTCTCGGGAAGAAATTTGGCAAGTTAAAACATGGAGGTCCATATGACTTAATGATCTCACTTCTAAGTCTGTTTGTGTGTCTGTCTGTGTGTGTATGTGTATGTGTGTGTTTCACACACACATACACATACATACACACAACATATATACATATATCTCTAGGAAAAAGAAAACCATCCACCCAAAACCTCATATATCGATTCATAGCAGCAGTATTTATAATCATATCATCATTAAAATGTGTGTGATAAACACACACAGAAATAGTCAAAAGAGAGAAAGGGATGTCACAACACAGATAGAGCGTGGAAACATGTGGCATGAAAGCAGCCAGACACAAAAGGCCACATTAGATGACAGTTGTACTCACATTACATCAATGTCAAAGCAGCAAATCCTGGGAGGTGAGAAGCAGGCCAGGAGTTACCCAGGGCAGAGGTAGACGGGGAAGTGACGAGTGACCAGGAATGGACATGTTTCCAGTATCCACAAGATAACACTACTTGAAAATTCACTGTGCTGATGGCTGCCCAGCTCCATGATGTGTTAAAACACATTGACTCTATGCTGAAAGGACCATACCCTGTGTAATTCACCTCAATAAGCTACACTATAATAGTAAGTTTTTCAGAAAACACTACACATCTATCCTCACAGCCTGAGTCCCAGAGCTAGAGCTGGTGGCTCTGCCCTTGCAGGCCTGGGTCAAGTTACAGACGAGGGCTGCACCTAAGGCCTGCCTGGGTGCCTTCCACTTGCTGCAGCCTGGGGAAGGCCTCTGTTCACATGGCCCCTGGAGGGCTGCTACAGTGTCCATAGGGAGATCCTCTTTCTTTACACCAAGCCATCTGAGAGGGCAGTGCATCCATGTCTTTTAGGAACTTTCAGAAATTGCACGGTTCTGATATATCCTGTTAGAGACACAAACTAGCCCTGTTTACTCTGGGAGGGGACTACCCAAGGGCTTGAATACCAGAGAGCAGGGACCAAAAGAGCCACCACGGAAGCTGGCTACCACACTTGACGCTAATGAAGACAATGATGCTAACAGCTAAGCATTTTGTGGCATTCACTATATGCAGGCACTTGTAAACGCACAGGAGACCCACAAGGTAGGTACCCCTCTCTATTCACAGAAGCGAAGCGCAGGGGTTCAGCAGCTCACAGGGGTTCAGCAGCTCACAGGTCACACTGCTAGCAAAGGACACAGCCCAGAGTCAGTTTCCAGCAGCACAGCACCACTGCCCACCCTTAAAAGACAACACAATACTGCTTCCCAGTCTTCCTTCCCATGTGTGCTGCCCATCCGCATCCCTCAACCGACAGCAGCTGACATTGGGTCTTCATTCGCCACAAGGGCTGTTTCGGCCACCCTAATAGCTGCAGAGTAGAAAATGGTGTAATTTGTATTTAGTTAACTGGGAGTGAGGCAATCCACTTGCTAGCTATCTAGCTTTATCTCTCTCTCTCCTGTTTTCAGAGCTGTCTTTTCCTTCCTGAGCTGCAGAGCTCTCTCATAGGTCAATCCTTCATGTATGCATTGTTTGTTACGCACTCACTGTTAGAGACGGCCAGTGTTTGCTCGGAATCTGTAGGCATCTTCATCTCCGACACGACCAGCTCTGCTGCAGGGAGAACCCTGCATTATGCAGCAGTTAGAGCAATCACAGCTTGTGGTTTGAGCTGTCTTCATGCTGTTCCTACCCATCACTTGCTCCTACCAGATTTCATTATTTGCTGGGGTCGCCCATAGGAGCCATGGTCCCACTTCATTTTTGTTCATATAATAAGCTAATTTTCTGAGCTTCACTAGCCACCTTTCCCACAAACATGTAACACTCACTACCTTATCCCACACACGTTCCAGTATTCCTAAACCTGTTTTAACACTAAATTCTGATTTGCACAGAAGAAGGATTATCACTCCCAAAGATTTTACTCACACGGCTTGCTAAATTAACAAAAACACTAATCACTAATACTTCTAAGACCCCAAGGAGCTCATTTTTCCAAGTAGAATACTCAGTTAGGAAATGATTACAAAAAATAAATATGTGTTTATTTTTTAAAGTAAAAAGGAAACACTGGCTTAGAACAAACCCTGGAATAAAGAAGTCACCGTGTCCTGCCAAAGCCAGCCACAGACAACATGGACACAGCCAAGGTTAGGCGCCTAGTCCAAAGGTCAGAACTGACAGCAAGCTGGTCTGTGTCTATCAGCAAGACGACCATCAGAGCCGGATGTTGGGCTAGCCTACGCCACCGACGCCACAGCACCACACAGCCGTGGAGGAGTCACATGTCCTCCACACTCCACTTGTAGGCCAGCTCCTCCACAGCCTTCTTGCTGGCGAGCCTGGCAAAGCGCTTCTGCTCAAAGCCATTGGATCTGCAACCAAAAGAGAGTTCTCGTCAGCTAGAACCCTGCATGTTTCCTTTAAAGTGGAAGGAAAGGTACGGGAAAATAGCCAAACCATATGCAATAAAACCAAAGCAACAAAACATACAAGTTAACCTCTTCTCATCCCTGTTGAGACTCAGACAACTACTGCAGACCTTCACTATTCTCTAACAAAGGCTGGTACAGCTAGGCCTGAAATCCAGATACTCCAAAGGCTGAGGAAGCAGGATCACACGTTCAAGAACTGCATGGGCTAGAGTTAGTTCAAGGTCAGTCTGAACAACTTCATGAAGCTCTGCCTCAAAAAAATAGTAAAATAGCTGGGCACGGTGGCGCACACCCTTGATCACAGCACTCAGGAGGCAGAAGCAGATGGATCTCTGTGAGTTTGAGTTTGAGGCCAGCCTGGTCTACAGAGTGAGTTCCAAGACAGCCAGGGCTACACAGAGAAACCCTGTCTCGAAAAAAAAAAAGTAAAATGAAGCTGGGGATGTAACACAGCAGTAGAGACAGAGCCCTGCCTAGCATGTGCCAGGCCCTGAGCTCAGTACACAGTACAAAAACAAAGACTCAACTCACTCTTAGCCGATGTCCACAGGCTTCATAATTTACCATCCGTTAACCATGACTGAGTTCTCACTAGATAGTAAGTGTAACCATGACTGAGTTCTCACTAGATAGTAAGTGTAACCATGACTGAGTTCTCACTAGATAGTAAGTGCTACAGACGTCACGGCTGAGTGACACAGACAGATGGGGGGTTGCAGAAGGATCAGGAAGGGCTGAGCAAGACACTTTGTGGGAACGGCCCCCAATCCATGTCTGAATAGATGCACAGGCACAGAAACAAGAGCCCTGGCCCAGGCAGGGCTCACTGGTGTGGCCAGAGCCTAGTGTGACAAAGGGAGTGATCACGAGTCAACACTGGAAAGGCAGGCAGAGCCCAAATCCCAGTGAGCTTAGGAGATGGCAAAAAAAGAAAGATTTCATCGAGGAAAGATGGGTTAAGACTGCATTTCCGAGAGACCACTCTAGAAATGTGTGGTAGGGAAGACACCACAGCAGCCTGTGCAGCTATGAAGGCAATGATGGAGGCCATGATACCAGGGATGGCAGCAGGGACCACATGAGAGGCGAAATCAGTAGGACTTTGGCTGACTAGTCACAGCCAAAGGAGGGGGTCAGCGGGCCTCATCAGTCAGTATCTGAGTGACCAGATAAATGAGGACGCCACCTCACAGGCTGGGGAGCACAGGAGGGAAGCAGGGGTAGAGGAGTATGCTCTGTACCTCACATGTGCATGGGCAGAAGACTCCACCATGAACACACTAGCCTGAGTTCCTACAGAACCGGAACCATGTACAGACAGACAGCTGAAGACCTGACTCAGAAAGAAGCAGCCAGAAAGAGATGGAGTGAGAACAGTGGGGGCTACAGATGGAGAAAAGAGAAACACTGAAGACTAACAGAGAAAGGGCCACTAACAAAGGGGCCAAGACATGACAAAGAAGCAGAACAGGCCATTATGGAAGCCAATTCAGGTGGGCGTTCAAGTAAACGGTGAGTGGACCACAAATCTCAAATTCCTTTCCCCACCCCACCCCTCTCCCTCTCTGCACTCCACCCCTTCCTTATTTATTTTTCCCTTGAGACAAAACATTTGTACACATACAAAATATTACACACGCACACATGAGAAATCTAGGAGACAAAAAGACTGAAAAACGTACTCAGAAAAGAAGATGAATGAATAATCATTAAAAAAAACAAAAAACAAAAAAAACAAAAAACTAGGCTAGCCAGGCATGGTGGTGCACACCTTTAATCCCAGCACTCAGGAGGCAGATGCAGGTGGATCTCTGTGAGTTCAAAGCCAGCCTGGTCCACAAAGTGAGTTCCAGGGCTACACAGAGAAACCCTGTCTCAAAAAACCAAAACCAGAAAAACAACAAAAAACAACAAAACTAGGTCAGGCAGAGTTCTAAACTTGGGGTCCAAATAAAGCCAAAGAAATGAACAGTACAGCAGGTATTCGGTGGCAACATCTGGTGGCTATGACAAAAGCCACCTCTGGGTATGCAGCAAATGAGACTTCAGGAACATCCTCCTGCCAAAGGTTCTGCTGGGTGACCAGCAAAGCCCAGCAGCCAGCTAACCTGCAACCGCACACCAAACTTCACATCAGGCTTCAGTGAGTCACTATACACACGTGCAGAGGACACCCTACCAGCCCTGGGAAAGTGCAGCAGCCAGAGGCAAGGTGTGGGGTGTAAGTGTCCACTGCAGGGGAGACAGGAGTTCAATATAGACTATATCTGTAGATAAAAACCAACAGAGAAATGTAACAGAATCCCAATCTCTACAATGCATCACTCACAAATAAAAGATCTAACAAATAAACCAAAAGGAAAATAACACATAATCAAAAAAATAAAATAAAATAAAAATCTGTTAGTCAGTGATGATGTCACCAGCATGTAATTTCAACATTCAGGAAGCTGTAGTGGGAAGATCTTGAGCTCAGGACCAGCCTGGGCTACATAGCCAGCTCTAAACCGGACTGGCCTATAGACTGAGCTCCTATCCCCAAAACGGAGAGGGGGAGGGAGGGAGGATTGGTTATCAACAGAAACCAATCCTGTGAATTGAATGCTGCAATCAGCAGATGAAACTTCAAAACACCATTTATATGTTTTTTTCCAAAAAGAGAAAGCTGTCTCTAAATGGGTGAGCGGATGGGAAATCTCAGTGGAGATACACATGCCATCAAATGGGAACTGTGGAGTCACACCAGCTGAGACAAAACACAACTGACAGCAACCGACAAAAACAACTAAGACATCAGGGCACGGGCTCTGCAAACTCTAATGCACCTTAGCCTAACAGGTTTGTATAAAGCACCACCATCCCAAGTAACTGCAGAATGTATACCAAGTGCACAAGGTAGAAGCAAAAGAATGGGAAAATATTCTGAACAAAAGCCATCCTGCATTTCAGAGAACTTTCTCAATACACCACCCAAGTGATTTTCTGATGATGCATAATGAAAACATGCCAACATTTGGCAGGTCTGTAAAATTCAGCAAATCTACATGTTACAAATGGCCAATATATGAGAGAATACGATGCATGGGTAAAAGATACAAAGTATAAAAACATACCACGAGCTGAGAGATGGCTCAGGGATTAAGAGCTCTGGCTGCTCTTCCAGGGGACCTGGGTTTGAGTACCAGCACCTTACTGCATTCTTCCCTCACACTTACATGTAGGCAAAACACCCACACACAAAAATAAACTTAAAGGGGGGAACCATGAATTATGTATGCAGGCATGGTGGCACATGCCTTTAATCACAGAACTTGGCAGGCAGATCTCTATGAGTTCAAGGCCAATCTGGTCTATAATAAGAGAGTTCCAGGTGAGCACCAGGACTACATAAAGAGACTCAGTCTCAAAGAAAAAAAAAGCCACAAGATCATAAATTTTAATGCAGAAGTATCACAAGTTCTTTACATGTTTTGGACCCACCTAACAGCCTTGAAGAAGCTGGCTTTTGTTCTCTGTATTGTACCCCACTTTTCTGCTGCTGACAGCAGGCTACACTTTCCTCCTGCACTTCAGCTAAACATGTCACAGCAGACAAAATTCGAACAGCTATCCACTATAAGCTAGACATTAATTATATTTGTAAAAAGTTAAATCAATTCTGCCCTTTCGGTTTGTTTGGAAAATAATTGCTTTTCATTAAAACTAATAGTAATTATACAGCATATAGTGACTATTATTTTTTATAGTGAATAAATGCTTTTAAAATATATTTAAAATTTTAATGTAGTGACTATAAATATATATGTAATTCACATAAACAAAAGCTTCTTGGGATCCTCAATAGTCTCTTTTAAAATTATGTATTTGTTCATACAGATGCACACACACACTCAAATGAGTGTGTGGAGTAAAGAAAACAATTTTCAAGAGATGCTTCTCCCCTACCACGTGGGTCCCAAGACTCGAACTCATATCACTAGGCCTGACAACAAGTGCCTTTCCCCACAGAGCCATCTCACAAGCACAGAGTACGCAATGGTCCTGAGATGTAAAACTTTGAGAATCCTCTAAGATTCTAACTAAATGCTAATGTTCTGTGTAGACATGGGAAGATGGGATCTGTGACTGACAATAAGCGGAAGCTGTCCTGACAGTCAGGAAGCTTGAGCACACATGTGACATACTAGTAAGTAACCAGGTGAGGTGGCAGGGCTGAGACATTACCTGGGACTCCACCTAGGACAGTGAAGAGAATTAATGCTAAAGACACAACACAGAGAAGGCTCCAGCACTCAGCCTCCAACTCTGAGAATCCTCTAAGATTCTAACTAAATGCTAATGTTTTGTGTAGGCCATGTAAACATGACCAATGTTTGAAGCAAAGTGTGTTATTTGTCCTGAGCCTTTCAAAGTCCATGGAAAGGAACAGGAGAAATGCTCCCAACCTCAGAACCTCCGATCTCAGGAAGGAAGCACACAAAGCAGGAGGGAGTGAGGACAGTGTGGAGGATCTAAGACAGTGGACAGAGCCAGCTGTGCTTCCCAGGCCTGTATTCCCAGTACTCAGGAGGCGGTGCATGAGTTGGAGGTCTGCCTGGCCATGCAGTGAGACAGACACTGTCTCAAAAACGAAACAAAACAAAAAACAAACAAACAAACAAACAAAAAAAAAAAACAGAGAAGAAAGGTTAAGGCCAGGCAGAAGAAGGCTGGGCAGTTGCGGCACATGCCTTTAATCCTAGCACTTGGGAGGCAGAAGCAGGCAGATCTCTTGGAGTTCAAGGCCAGTCTGGTCTACAGAGCGAGTTCCAGAACAGCCAGGGCTACGCAGAGAAACCCTGTGTCAAAAAACAAAACAAAACAAAAGTCAGGCAGAAGAGAAAACAAAAACAGAGGAATCACATCTACCTGTCCACTCCATCCCAGCGGTATCCAGGCCAGATAAGGCATGGCGGCACATGCCTTTAATCCTAGCACTTAGGAGGCAGAAGCAGGCAGATCTCTGTGAGTTCAAGGCCAGTCTGGTCTACAGAGAGAGTTCCAGAACAGCCAGGGCTACACAGAGAAACCCTGTGTCGAAAAACAAAACAAAACAAAAGTCAGGCAGAAGAGAAAACAAAAACAGAGGAATCACATCTACCTGTCCACTCCATCCCAGCGGTATCCAGGCCAGATATTGAATCTATTGGGAGGAGGTGCAGGACCACTGTAGCGAGGTCTCACTAAAAACAGGAATGAGAAAAAAGAAATTAGCTACCGACATAATTTCATTCAGAGCTGGATGGCAACGGCAGAAAATTCTTCATGTAAGTTCCTGATGAGTCTTCGCACCCTCAAGGCCTCTCCGCCGACGCAGCAATCCAAATTAAAGCAGGGGCTGAGGTGGAGCGCCCACCCGAACAGTTCCTACTGTTTTGAACCCAAACTTCCAACAGGCACTCCGGCTGAGCCTCCTCTGTGGAAAGCTGGGTAGTGCCCTCTGACAGCTCTCTCCTCGGCCACCTGCGGCCCTGGCAGCCCTGTCTCACCTTTCTTATGCTTGTTCTCCTTGGCCTTATTCTTCTTAATGAAGTTGGCCATCGGGTCCCCCTCTCTTTCTTGTTCTCTCAGCATCCGATCCAGATCTTCGTCATCGATGTAGCGGGCCAGAGGCTTCTGCATCTCCTTCATTGCATCCTCTACATTCTGCTGCTGTTGCCGGCTCTGGGCAAGCCTGGGCCAAAGGAAGCATCCTGGTTGGCAATCTCCTTCTACACTGGGGGATCACAATGCTACTCCGGAGAACTCGCTCTCTGTAGCCGCAGAGGCTAACTAAGAGGGTAAAAGCCCTGAGTCCCAACTGTCTCAGGAGACTCAGCGCCTGAGGCTCAGCCCCGTAACAACTTGGTGCTCAGGGGTGCCCTTACCCTTTCCCCCACTGGGCATATAGCTCATCTCGCTCTGAGTCCTTCTCTGCCTTTCTCCTCTGTTCCAGGCGTTCCAGCTTCAGATTCCTCTTCCGACCAGACTTGTCTCGAAATACAGTTTCAGCGAATTCAAACTGAGCTATGAAGGTAAATCACATTTTTAAGATAAATACCAAACATCACAATCAAATAACATTCTAGCATGTGAAACCAGCTGCTTGGGATCTTCGTGCTGGTAAGAACTCTACAGCCAGGCCACGGTGGCTCCTACCAACATAC